TCCCGGTCTGCAGACCAGGGGGACGGGGCGGAGGGGGGGGCAAAGCAGAGCCAAGCCGCGGAGCGTGTGGGCAGCGGACAGCCCTGTCCGCTGCCCGCGTGTTCTGCCGCTTTGCTTCCTCTCCCTGGTCTGCTGGAGACCAGGGAGAGGAAGGGCCCCGTTCGTAACTGCGGATCCGACATAAGTCGGATCCGCGTAACTCGGGGACTGCCTGTAGTTCCTTTTCAAATATTATAGGGAAGCATCCATCTCGAGGACTACGTCTAGACTGGCAAGATTTAGTGCAAATACTCTAAATGCAAGAGTTTTTGCGTTAGAGTATTTGAGTAAGAGAGCATCTATACTGGCATGTGCCTTTGTGCAAAAGATTTGCTTTTGCGCAAAAGCATCTGTGCCAGTGTAGACGCTCTCTTGTGCAAGCCCATTTTAGCCATCGGGCTTTCTTGCACAAGAAATTGATGTTACCTGTCTACAGTGGCCTCTTGCGCAAGAACACTTGTGCAAGAGGACTTATCCCTGAGCAGCCGCTTTTGCGCTAAATCTTGCCAATGTAGACACAGCCTAAGGGTTTAGTGAAACTCTATTAATCAGTTCCTTTTTTTATCTAATATGCTTATAGTCATTATTCATATACTTTAACTAATGCTTATATTTTGCATATGAATAAAACTTTCTGTCTCAGCTAAGGGATGGGGAAACTCAGAACACAAGAAGTCACAGAATGTTTTGTGGTTCTAACTGCAGACTTTTATTGCTTTGTGAACATTTCCATTTATTTGTCAGGACCTTATTTTGTTCACATCTTACATGGTCATCTATGTAACATATTGTATTGCAATGTCTGTGTTCTAATTTACAATCACTTGTGTAAGTAAAAGTTGTACCTCTCTGGTCCAGCACCGTTGGAACCTGACTGGTCCGAACGAGATAATTTACTGCTCTAGGAGAGGTCTCATGCCACCGGCTCCCAAGTCTATTGCCTGCTGCTGGCAGGCTGCCCCAACATCCCCTTCAGTCTCCTGCACCCCTAACCTGGCTGGCCTGCTTGCCCAGCTGCTTCTGGCTTCCTGGGCAGCAGAGGCTCCAGCTCCACGCATCCAGGATCAGTTTTGGTGCTCCGGCTCTGATCCCTCACATCTGGGGGCTGCTGCAGGGCTCTGGCCCCAGCCCTGTGCTCCAGTAGGCTGCTGCGAGGCTCAATTCCATCCCCATGCTCGAAGGGGCTGCTGCCGGGCTCCAACCCAGCACTCCAGGAAGCTGCCGGGGGACTCCGGTCCTGCTCTGCCATGGGGCTTGGACTGCAGCTTCAAGCTCCCGGAGATTGCCGATGCATGCTGCCAGAGACTCCATCCTGGCCCGTGCCACAGGCTGCTACAGGGCTCCAGCTCTGGTCTTGCACTGCCTCCAGCCAGTCTCTGACCCGTTGCTCCAGCCCCTGGCAGGTCCTCCTGCCTTTAAGTCTCTCGACTCTGGCCCAGGAGTATCTGGGGTCATGTTGCCAGACCAGAGAGTGCCAGTTTTTGGAGGTACAATCAGTGCTAGAAGTTAACAGTGATGGTTGCTATCTACCTTAGGTACTTATGTGACTTCATTACAATAGCCATCTGAGTGCTTCACTGTCTTTAATGTATTTAGCCTCATAATACCCCTGTGAGACAGGTTAGTGCCATCTTCCACTGTCCATTCTCTTGCATGGAGAAATATACTTGCTTATGTCAGGGTGGTGACAGTAAGAATAAAATCTCAAATACATGTTTCCAGTATTCTAAACTTAATATATCTTTCGCTTTTATTTTGTAGACACAAATGTGTACCCAGGATTAGCTGTGTTTTTTCAAAATGCATTGATATTTTTTAGGTAAGTTATTTATGTCTTATGCCTGAGCATTTCAAACCACTGCTGAGATCTATCTTCTTCTATCCAGTCATGTTACAAAGCAAGTAACCTACTTGTTTTCATGCTATGCCAAGCTAAAGTCCATTTCCATTTTACTCTCTAAACACGTTTCTTTCTTCTCAAAGGAGTATAAAGTTTTCTTGTTCTCATACAATTAAGTAGTTTTAGTAAATGTTAAAGGAGAAAGTTAGGCTCTTTTTTTTTAAAGCTAAAGTTGGGATCCTACATCCATATTTAAGCCCTACAGTAAGTGACCTACATCCATATTTAAGCACCACAGCCAGTTCCATTGACTTTAGTCTACCACTCTGTCAGCATCAACAACCAACATTCACCCTGGCCCATCCCTCACTACTTCTATACTTGGGGGAAAAATGAAATGTGGAGGTCTATCCTAGTTTTTGAATCTTGTCTTATCACATTTGAGCTGGTGAAACCCTCCTGAAATCTTTGTTAATAAAAAGCATCTCTAAGATGAGGTTTACATACCAAATACTCCTATTTTAAAATATGCAAGCTATGAAAGTCAGTATGAGGTCTCACATCTCTCTGTTCTTCACCAGGGTCTTGCAAACCTAGGGATGGCCCAGCTGTAACTGATCACTGAATCTGGGCTTCTCAAGTCTCCAAAAGCCTCAGATGAGTGTGTTAACTCCACAATAGGCAGATGTGGGAGTGATCTGCCCCCATTAAATCTCATCTTGGTCTCTAATAAGCCTGAAGTGTGGAGTTTAATATATGTTAAAAATGCATAATTATGACAACTCTGGATATTATAATAAGTATATTATAGTTCCTTTTTTAATCTTGCTGATTTCTTTGCCTTAGTGACTTCCTGTGTCAATAAATTCCACAGTCTAATTATATACTGTGTGGGGGAAAATACTAAACCAGTTCTGAATTTCTCACCTAATTTCATTGAAAGTCCCCTTGTATTTGTGTTACGGAACATTGAGAACAGAAGTTCCTGATCTAGCCTCCCTAAACCATATTAATCTCCTTTTTTAGGTGAACAATGGTATCTTTTCATTCTCTCTTCACATGAGATTTTTTTTCCAGGTCTTTGATAATTTTCATTGCCTGTTTCTGAACCACTAATTCAGCAGTAACCTTTCTGAGAACTTAATGCAGTACTAGTCATTTTAAGATATCGTAGTGATTGCTGTTCTCCATCCATTACTTATAGTCTGACATTGTTTGCTTTGACTGCAGCTGCTCATTGAGCTGAATACAGTCACTCTCATGCTTTCCAGGGTTGATAAAATTAACTCTTGATAGGGTATGAATAGTTTTGTTTTTTCCATTCAGTGTATATTACTTTGCATTTATCAAAACTGAGTTTCATTTGTCATCATATTGACCATTCATCTGGCTTGTTTATGTCTTTCTGTAGTGTTGACTAACCTAAATGACAGTGTCCTCTTCCTCAGTGCTCACTCCTCTTTCTAGATGGTTATAAAATGTTGAATAACATGGGATCTAGTATAGGGATGTAATAGTGTAGTCGATTAACCGATAAGCAAAGCTATAGACTACACGCATGCTCTTCCTCCCCCTCCAGTAAATTTTTAGCAAGCTGGCCAGCAGCCTGGCTCAGTCCTGGCTTGTGTCGGGTCAAGTAAGTACCTCTGCTGTGACTCTGCATTTGAAGTATATTAGGAGCCAGGCAAGCAGGCAGTCCAGCTCAGTTCTGGCCTGGGAACTCAACCAACCCTCTGCAGAGGACCTGCTGCTACCCCACGCCGCTGCCTCTATATCAGAGTGCAGGGTGAGAGGCAGCCAGTCCATGAGGGGAGCTGATTTTTAAACTGGCTCCCCTCATGGACCAGTTCCCACTTGGCATCCCTCACTACAGAGGCAGCAGCCCAGAGTGGAAGGGAGCTCCTCGGGAGTGGGGCCGGACTGGCTGCTGACCCCACCCCTGGCAACTATAGAATAGTTGAGTAACCAATAAGAATTCATGAGGTGAATCGACTAGTCAGTTAACCGATATTTAACATCCCATATCTACTACAGAACCTTTAAGCATTTATAATTTTTTTTAAAAAATTGTATTTTTATTTTTTTGGTCATATGGAAAACTCGCCATTTATTCCTACTATTTTCTCCCTCTAGACAGGTTAGAGCCCGACAATGCTTGTCATGCTCTTGTTTCATGTACATTTAGATTTTTTAGTGGTCTCCAGTGCAGAAACCTTGTAAAAGCATATTTGGACATCTAAATTGTCAGTCAGTCTTCCTTTATGGGCAGTTTATTTGTATTAAGAGACTGTGGCATTATTTTCTTTTGCTGAAACTGTGTAGATTAGACCCTATCATGATTTTTCAGATGCCTTACTCTGTTGAACTTTTAAACAGTTTGCTAGCTATACACGTGAGGTCTACTGGTCCAGAATTCTGTGGATCACTCCTAGTACTTTTTCCAAAAAATTATACACCATTTACTCCCCTCCAATCCTCTGAACTGTGGCTGTTTTTTTAAAAGAGATTGCATAGCGGTGTTAGCTAAATCACTTCATACCTAAAATTACATCAGACAGCCTCTGAGACAGTCTGGTGAGTTGCTTGTAATCCCAGATCTCATTTTTTTTCAAATATGCACAAAGGATTATATATATGGAAAAGTAGATTTGTGAATTAAAGATGTTAAAGGAGACTGAGCTAAGATTAACACCAGGAGTGTAAATGTACTATAGCTAGAGAATATTTTATAGCATTTTTATCCCAAATTGAATATGCAAAATTTGAATTTCAAGTATCTTCTAGTCTATAAACAAATGACATTTTTCCACATTACATGTAAATGTCTCTTTTCTTACAGTACTCTGATCTACAAATTTGGAAGAACAGAAGAGTTATGGGTATAATATCAAAGTTGGTGTTAATTCCATGCCCTTTACATCATATGCTGTATCTAGACATCCTTGGGTTTTTATTTTACATTTTGCTAAATACTCACGATGTTGCAATTACTTTTTTTGCTTTCTCTAAATTGAACTTGATTTAAAAAAATGTTTTGACAGTTTCTGTAATTAGTTCCTTTTTATTCATAGACCAGACTTGTGAATATGTACATAAATGGCTGGGTATGTATATATCTTAGAAGCAAATGTTATTTTTATTTCTGAAGTCTTCAGGCTGACTTCTGCTGATGCATGAACTTGCATCAACACGTAGGATCTAATCCTGCAAACCCTAACACATGTAACACAAGTTTCAGTTGAACTACTCAAGCAAGTAAGAGTTTGCAGGATCAAGCCCATACTTGTGTCAAATCAACTATTGCTTTTTGCACTGGTGGGCTATAGCTGATTTTACAAGCTATGCAGCAGTGCCCAGTTGGATACCTCAAAGCAGAAGTGAGTCCTTAAAGTGTTTCAGCTAAATGTATGGTTAGTTAAGAGGGAAAAATTGTGATGATATCCTGGGCTATGAATGAGATTTTAATAATTTTATATAAAGGTATGAAAGTCAAATATAGAATAGCTTTTGAACTATTTTTAAAAGGTGGAGACTTTGTCCCTTTGTTAAAATGTGAATGACAAATCAACTAATTTTCAAGCCTGTAATTATAGCACAAATACAATTTAATGGCATGATTCTTTGTAAAATTGAGCACACTTGCTGGTGTTCACTAACTTATACCATTAGCTATATTTACCATTACATTCAAGAAAAACCTAAATTCATCTGAAACTGATATATTTGGACATGAAGAACACATGAAACATTAATATTTTAAAGTTACAGTAATACCACTTTTCTTCACGAATTTTTTTGCTGATGAAATGTGTGGCAGGAGTGCCCTTTCTCATTGTTAATGAAACTGTCTATTTCAATAGAGGAATATAGTGGAAAAATAAATCACTACTGTATTTTTTTCAAGACAGCAATTTCTTGGAGGTACTTTGGGCTAAACTTCTCAAGCGAGGGCTTGTTTCCCCAATCAATCTCACTAGGTCTAACTGGAGAAGACCAAAAGGAAGAAGAAGCTGATGTTTTTCTATCTATATTGGATGGTCTTGTATATGTTTTACAGTTATATTACAAGTTTGACATCCTCTTATCAGTTTTACCTAGATATAAAGCATTTAGCATAAAGGGAGACTATCTTGTGTCTCAGCTTTTATAATTTTTTATGTACCATAAGCTTGCTCCACAAGCAGTATTAACGTAACTTTGACAGCAAGAAAACTATTCCATACACAGCAATTAATTTTCCTGTTAATTTGATTTCTTCCCACCCACTCCTTTCTGTCAGTCTTTCTAGGGGGCATAATATGAAGCAAATGTTGTAGCTGAGAGTTGTGCCCTTGCCTTGACTATTACTTCTGCCCTGATTTGTCCATCAAACTGTGCAAGTTCATTCTGAAACTTACATTTGATGGCATTAAACTAGGTGAATTGTATAGAACGTGTTTGCTCAATTATAACTACAGTGAAATACAATAAAGGATTCCTGAGACTAGTACCTTTGTCAATTTTTACGTAAGCTGTGTATAAACACACTCTATGCTGTTTAAAAATGTTAGTATGCTGTTTCATGAATAGAAAGTATGGCAAATTATTTCCCCACTCTCCTAGCTTCAAGCTTATAGGACCAAGCATCCTAGAACTGAAGCTTTCCATGAGCTGGTGACTATAAATGTTATTCTTGAAAATGAAACTATCTAGATTAGTAATGCTTTTGTAAGGTAGCTTGTTTCTTTCTTGCAGCTGAAATATAATTGAGAAGTGACATGGTTAGTTCCACTTCTGTGTTCAAAGGGACCTTCTCTATGCATCCTAGCTAGGAAGGCACAGAAAGGAATTCTGTCTACATAACATCCTCCCCTGATCCCAGTGAAGCTCAGGTTTGCACACGGAAACAGTGCTGTGTCAAGTACTATTGTGGCTGTCGGTACCGAAAGGCAATAATAAATGGAGCTTAGGAAGACAACCAAAGGAGCTCTAGCTAGAGAGGGGCCCAAACAAGCCATCTACATAATGCAGCTATTTCTAACACACTGCCATACTCTTGCTTTTGAGTTGAGCTATCTACTGCTAGTTGGTAATCTCCTTGCCCCTTTTCCACAACTCCATCTCACAAAAGGCAACTCACTGCTGTAGGGGTATCAAGGTGGAGCCATGCCTCCTTTCCAGATCATCCTCATTAGGTGGTAGCCTCAATGATAAACATTGTAAGACTGTTTAGTGAATAGGCTTTTATTAAAAGATTGATGGAGAGAGGTAAATAGGTGTTTTGTTAAAGTTTGCCAAAGACTCAACTTAGTCAATCTTTTTGATTCATTGACTGGATTTCTTCTTTTCATCTGTCAGCAGTTGTGCTGAATTATTATTTGTATTAAAGTGCCCTGAATGCACCAGTCATGGACCAGGATTCCACAGAGGTAGGTGCTGTACAAACACAAATAATGACATTGTTTATAATCTAAGAATAAAAACAAGATATGGATACAGACTGCTCAGTACCATGACACAGTGAAGGTGGGAGTATTAAGGAACAGACAAGCTGTACCCAAGTTTATCTTGTATTAAAACACAGTGCAACAACCTAAAAAAGAACACACATTAAAATCATGTTTAATATTAAACTAATGGTTAGTTTCTTGGGAGATACCTGGCAGATAGCTATTTAAAAACATGAGGCTACTTCAGCCAGATTTAGAGTTCAAGTGAAATCTGCCTTACTGCCAAATGTTTCTGTAATCCCTCCTACACCCAGAAGAGGGCAAAGGAGTAGAACAGCAACTTAAATTACTAAAACACAGAAAGGACACACCAAATTGACAGGTTAAACGAGGAACTGTATTAAAGCTAGACAAATGTTGCATTTTCACAGTGCCAAATTTCATTCAAGAACCTTGAAGCATTTCACACACAGGAACCCACCCATCACTTCTTATAAAAAGGTACTTCTCTACTTGTTTTCTGAAGCTTCAGTAGAGCCACTCTGGAGTGTATCTGATTGGTGGATATTATATATGGGAGTTGATGGCATTAAGCTGCTGCTCTTCTCCAAGTAAAAGATAGCTGGGTCTCTAGACAAGTTTCTAGCAGTGGGAATATAGTTTCTACTATACTAGTATAAAAACTAGTCAAAACAATTCAATCAAGCTACAGACTACCTACATTAGATCAGCCCTGGGGATAGACATATATAGTTGTTTGTAGTACTCTGTGTTTATAGAAACTGACAAGACATTACAACCCCCTCCTGTGGATGCAATTTTATCAATATAAGATGGTCTTTATAACTGTATAGTTTATTTCTATTACTGGCATAAAAACATCTTTTAGTGACAGAATTGTGTCCATAGGAAGGGGTTTTAATGCCTTATCTGTCAGTTACTAAGCAGTGTTACACAAACTAGGGGTAGATCAGCCCTGGGGGAAAGGCAGTGCTACCAGTTTTTATCTAATCCATCACTGTCTTTAGAAATAACCATCCAAGGAAAACCATGAAAGCAAAAAACGTAATATCTCCAAGACTGAACTTGGTAAGTTTCCTGAGGGGATGGTGTGATATGATTGTCTACAATTACATGCAGCTGATCTATGACTGCTAGCAGGCAGTATCTCCAAAGGCTGGTGTAATGGAACACTAGATGGGGAAGGCTCTGAGCTACTTTACTGAGTTTTCTGCCTGACAAATCTTGCACATATGTTCAGGGTTTAACTTGTCACCATATCTGGAGGTGGAAAGGAATTCTCCTTGCTTTACAGTAATAGAAGTGTTTTCAACCTTCTGCAGCATGGGGCAGAAGTCACTTGCAGGTTTAACTGTTGTCTCCAATATCCGTCATGGATGCTAATGGCTAATTTAGACCAACATTTTGTATGCATAGTTGGATTTATGAATTCTATTGTACATTACTTCGTATCTGTCACTACTGAATTTCATCTGTACCTGCAAATTTTGCCACTTCAGCATATTCGTAAGTAATCTGGAAAAAGAGATAAATACTGAACACTGCTCATCCTAGCTAGTGTAGACTCCTACAGAATCATGTAACTTACACTATGCTCTTCAGACAGTTTTCCTTTCATTACTGCTCACCTCCACACCATGCGCTGGCTTCCCATAGAATTTTGAATCAAGTTCAAGATCTTGGTCCTTATCAAAGCACTTCATAGCCTGTACCCATGCTATACACCACCACCACAAGTTCCAGAGAAAGATCTTGGACAACTATGCTTCTCTAGCACAATAAAACTCTCTATAATAGAAATAAATCTTAGTTCTGTCACCCATACAGCTCTCTCGGAGGCTGGTCCAAGGACCCTGGAATAAATTCTCTCCCAAGGATCACCACAAACCTTTCTACTTTCCATTCACATGCATGTCTTTGCCATAGTCTTCTCAAACACAACATTTTAGAAACAAAAACATCCTACCAAAACAAGATACTGCACATACCTCAAAAAACCAACCAGCTTGTGACAGGTGTGTAGTCCTATTACTAAATGCATCATTGGTAGGTTCTGAGAATACAGTAATGAACATGGTTTAAAAGACTACACAGAATTGTATTTAGGTAAAATGTTAGGATTGTTTACATGTCCTTGTTAGAGCTGTAATGAACTATTCAATTAATAGTGCCACTAGAACTGGATGGTTTTATAAATAAAATAGCTGAGTTTCTCCCCACCCAATTCATTAAGAAACTTAACACAATCAGCTCTTAATTAGGATCATGACTAAAGCTGCAGTTGTTTCATGGACATTACTGTAAGTCTGAATTCCACAGCAGCTGGTACAGCTGGTTCTGAGGACCATGTGAGCAGCAGCAGATATGGCTGGTTCCAGGAACTTCCCAAGCAGTGTCCTGAGGGTGGCCCCAAGGTGTGTCTGATCAGTGGTCCTTGGGGTGCCCTGGGTATCCCCTAAGCAGCAGCAGCTACCTCTTTTGAGCTACACTCAGAATAGGCTAAGCAGCGCACCCTAGAATAACTTTAACATAGACCATACTACCAGAACTGTAAAAGCAATATTTTCAACATATGAGGTGAATGTATAGAAAAGCATTTTATAAAGTCATGGAATTTGAAAGTGACAAATCACATTTGATCATATATACTGGTTGATCATATATATTGGTTGAAATGAGCAGAATTTTAGTTTGAAGCCATATACCCACTTCTCCCCATCCTAGACAGGAACAGAATGCCACAATGATTATTTTTAAATTCTCTGAGGAACCATAAGTGAAGTTTATTTGCTGATGAATAAAGGTCATTTGGGAAAATGAAGAAGAGAGGCACTAAAAGGACATACTATAATGCTAGCTTATCACACCCATACACACAAATCTTTGTTCTTGATAATTACAAAGAAAAAACTTTTCATATGAAAATTACACATTGATTAGATCCTAAATAAACAGCAAATAACTATATGGAATTTGAAGGGAAAAAATTTGAAAATAAAAACATATTAAATGACTTTTTCTATACTTAAATTATTTCTATTATCAGTACAAATAATATTATTCCAATACAGCATCGCACTTTTAACATCAAAATTTTCACATATACAATGAAGTGGTGTAAAGCATTTCGTGATGCTCTATTTCCCAAATAGCAATGCTCCACATTCAAAGTCATGCCTTTCCTAGCATTCAGAACTGAACAAGTGAGCAAACCAGGGCTTTCTTAGTATCCACTAGCTGAGGATGTCTTATGTTGAACACATCTTGCCCATGTGAACTCAAACCAAACCTTCCAAACCTCACATGTTCAGTTGACTATGGGTGAAAGTACATACTGGGATAAACTGGTAGACAGCTTGGGGCAGCTGGGGCCCTGGGCAAGGTCGGGGGATTTGGGCCCCCAGAAAGGATGGGGCCTTAGATAGAAGGGGCAGGACTGGGACCAGACTTCCTCAGCTACCCTTTCATGGCTGCTGCTGCCCCAGTAATAATGAGTCCTTGGACTCCGGTGGTAATTTTAAGGGCCCAGGACAGCAGCCCTTCTTCCATCAGCAGCCCTGCAGGTAAAGTCCAGGGTGACAGTGATTTAATATCTGCTGTGTACAAGCCAGTACTGGTGGCTGCTTCTTGCCAATACACTCTAGTGGGCCACTTTCACCTCTGGATGAATGACTTCTGGAAGGCTCTCTAAGTAGCCAAACCTATTATATTTTAGTGTCAGATATAAGCTTTAGGATTTCATTTCACTGTAAAGATGTGATGCCTAAAGAGAAACTGATGCCACACCACACAGTCACAAAAGAAATGAATACCACTCCTGTGCAAGAATCAGAAGGCTCAGGGGAGAAGTGATTCAACCTGTCTGCTCTGTAAGCACTCCTTCCATGAGGATTCTTGGGGAGAAGGGGAAGAGGTAAATAATGTACTGGTTTTAATTCAGCTCATGTAACTGATTTTTTTTGTTTTTGTTTTGTTAAAAGGGCACTTAGAAATAAAAGGGACAACAGAAAACATGCTATCACATATAAAGTACCATTCTCAGAGCAATTTTTCACATGTGACATTTTAAGTGCATTTTCTGGGGGCTAACGTATGGCGTGTAAAGGGACAGACTTTATATAGAAGTACCGAGGAAACAGAACAAAAGCCGAGATCATTCATTCATGGTGTGACAACCCACTCAACTCACTGAGCAAATCCTCTTTCTAGTATTGTATCCTACCATAAAGTGCTACAGTTCATTAAGATTTGTTAAATCTAGACAAACTTAATAAGTAACAACAATGTTCATAGTAATAGCAAAGTCATTTCTGCAAAAATGTTGAACTGCAGCCATTTTACTGCAATTCGTATGCTGCTGTCCTCTCTCTGCTCATTTAGTGTTCCATTTCCAGTTTACATTCAAACCTGTTTTTTTTTAAAAAAAAGTCAGAGAGAACGTACTTCATATGGTGAATTGCAGTAGAACCCATTCAAAACCCACTCAGGGTTACACAATGTTCTCAGGAAGTAGTTTTTCCCACAATTTCATTTGTCAACAGTGACACTATCATCTTCCTATAGCATCAAGGCAATGTCACCAGTACAGGTGCTTCTTCCACAACGTAATTTAAGTTTTTTCCCTTTCAGTGGATCTGCTGTCTGAATGAACATTTGTGTTGAGTGTGTTCCTTACTAGTGCCTGACTTCCTTCTGCACTGGAAACAACTGACAAGGAGTCCCAGAAATCTTCCTCAGCATAATTATTCTGCAACTCTTCTAAAACAGGCATTTCAGAATCCTTTAAATCCTAGAAATGGAGGGGAAAAAAAACCAGTAAATCAGTTATACTTTACAAAATAAATTGGTTGATCATTTAAACGTCTATACGTGAATATCTCTCGTGGACACTTGATAATTTTGGCCTTACTCTCTCTGTGTCTATGCACTCCAATTGTAAAATGGGGACATTACCCTCATCTCAGGAGTGTTATGAAAAGTATTTCAGTAAAGTTTGAGAAGTACTAAAGATGCTATGAGGAAAGCAGGATTTGAAGGGTGTGCAGTAAATGAACCATGGGGGCACACAAACAATGAAAAGGATAATAAGAAATACTGAATAACCCACCTACTGAATGAGATTCTCTGGAAAAAGTAATATTTGATCATGCAATTAAAGACTTATCAGAATGCACATGTACATGGGGGATGAATTATTTTTGCAGGCAACCCTATTTCTGTCTGTTCCCAAATTCTGAGTGCTTAACATTGCAACATTAATAAAAGTTTTGTAATTTAGGGTTTTGTATGCAAACTAGTCCCCACAAACTAAACAGTAAATCCTGCAGCCCCCACTCTCTGACTTTCCAGTCACTAAGAGTTTTGCAAGAATTAGGACTGCGGGAATTGGACTTAAAGTATTTTCATATTAGAATCACTCCTACTTTTGGTGACTGGAGTAACTCTGAGAAGTTAATCTGATATATGATTATTTTTAAACGGAGCACAAAATGTCCCAATTTACTTTTCTGTTAAATGTATTGGGATTCTGTTGCTTAATGGAAGACAGTAGAAAAAACCTGCAGCATCTTTCATTTCATACTGAACTAGGGAATTTCCATTCTATTTCATATCATGTGTTGATGCTGAGAAAACCTGGCAAGGCAAAACGCAAGTAAATTCTATAGGAATTTTCCAGTCTCTAACTACTTTATAAATGTAGTCACATACCCATCAGGAGCATTCTGTAGTTTCTTACCACTTTATCGACACAGAGTAGGAATTTCTCCATGCTAAAACATCACTTTAACATAGATGCATCCCAATTTACATCTAATCTACATAGGTAGTTAGCATTTATTTCACAGACGTAAGGCGTTTACAGTACATATGAAGCAATTTGTGTGTTATAATTTGGAGAGGGTGATCTTAAAAGCTGGCTCTATTTAAAAGTCACATTACAAGAACCAAAGCTATCAACAGTGTTTTCAAAAATGTGTCCATCGCAGAATTTGAGGCAGCTGTTAGGAAACATAAGACTCACATGTACAAAGCAGTCAAACTCTGTAGTTATGATCACTGACACATACTAAGGCTGTTAAATTTAGATTAATTAACTAATCAAATAGTTGATAGGATTGCCACTGACTATTTGATTAGTCTATAAGGGTGCCTCTGCCTTTGAACTGTAGCAAGAGCCCTACCTCAGGGAGCACGGGGGCTTCCTTTTGAAATGTTCAAGAGCCCCAGTAGGCTCTTGCACATTTCAAAGGCTGAGGCACCACAAGGAGCGCAGGGCCAGCTTCTGCTTATCGGATAGTCAACCAGTCTCTTACAACCCTAACATATACCTGGGATTAATTTTTTAAAAACCAAGATCAGTGCAATGTTAGAATAAATTCAAAGAGCTTTTTTAAATCTCCTAAAAACTAAAAAAAAAAAAATCAAGGGTCAAATGGGCATTTAAAGCAGCAGCATAGCAAACTAACTTCTCCCCCGCCCCCCAACTTCCTTAGTTCACACTTAAATCATTTTCAGCAAAACAAGTGTTCTAATTAGCTTTAATACTTTGAAAGCTTGTTTCATTTCCCATTGTAGAGATTACTTGTCATGAAACACTTAACTTTCAAACATGACCTACTCAAACTATCTTTTAAAAGCAAAATATACCACAAATTAACCATGTACAGCTCTGACACCACTCACCCATCTGAACGTAACAAAATTTAATTGCTACAGCTTTGAGTTGGAAATTTTTAGTTTCTGAATTTGTCAAAGTATACAATGATAGTCTTCATCAACATTTTTTTCCTTAAACATGCAAACATCAACTTATAGGCTGTGTCTAGATTGTATCCCTTTTCCGTAAAAGGGATGCAAATTAGACATATCACAATTGCAAATGAAGCGGGGATTTAAATCTCCCCCGCTTCATTAGCATAAAAATGGCTGCCACTTTTTTCCGGCTCGGAGCTTTGCCGGAAAAAAGTGCCAGTCTAGACCCGGATCTTTTGGAAAATAAAGCCTTTTCCGAAAGATCCCTTATCCCTCCCTAAATGTTTTATGGTTGAGGAATAATTTATGAGGAGTAACGTTAGTTTGGACTAAGGACTTTAATCTGAACTAACGTGTCCCGGTGCGCACTTCCTGGTTCAAATCACCTGTGATTCGAACTAGTGTGCCGGCGAGATCATGTTAATGAAGCGCGGGATATTTAAAATCCCCGCTTCATTAACTACTTCAGTCTCCTCCATTTGCATCCCTAGTCCGATCTAGGGATGCAGTGTTGACGTACCCTAAGGTTTTTAGCAGTTACACAGTTACCTTATTAAATGTTTTAACACCCTTAGTTCTAATGATAATTTTTTTCACATATTTACAGATGTAAGAGGAGGAAGAAAAGCACTAGGTCAGTTAACCTCTCTTGGAAAGCTTCTGCATTTAGAAACAATTCTGCTTATGTATAATTCATTATTCGTGTTATTTGCCTGAAAACAGTTTCACGGTTGCTGAAGTATTCACCTGATTTCTGCTGTGGGTACTATACATTTGAAATCCTAATGACCTCAACACCAATTCAGGGTTATAAACTCTGGTGGAGAGTAAGCATTAGAAAACAGATGAACTCCTACAGTCCGCTCCATAATATACTGTGAATTTTTTAAAAGTGGACATATTTAGGTACTTACCTGCCTGCCCCCTATCATCCTAGTACCCAAATGTATAAAATTATTAAATTTATCCTCGCAAAACCCTTTTGAGGTAAGAAATCATCATCTTCATTTTACAGATAGGAACTATGGCAGAGACAGATTAAGTGACCTGCCAAAAGTCATGCAGGAAGTCGATAGCAGACTTGGAAACTGAATCCAGATCCTAAAGTCCTAATCCACACAAAACCAGCCTAACTCAAAGGACTGTTTGTTTAACACATGAACAAAAAAAAGAAAAAGTACTTTACTAGACCAACTGTAAGCAACACTCAACTGTGATGTGGATGTCTCAAACCATCCAACACTCCGGTCATCTGAAGAAGTGGGCTGTGCCCACAAAAGCTCATGATACCATCTACATGTTTTGTTAGTTTTTAAAGTGCTACCAGACCATCTGTTGTTTTTTATGTTTTTCCTGTTATAGACAAACTTGGCTATCTCTCTGAAACTTAAATTAATGATCAGTGGAAAAACACTTCCTGTTTAAGAATTAAAAAGAGGAAGATGAAAAGGACTGAAATGTTCTTCACTATTGATATGCATAAGCTGCCAGAAAAAGAATCACATGCATCTTTGTCATTAATTTGTGAATTGCAGGAAGCCAGCCAAATAAGAGACACTTCTCCTCTCTCCAGCCTTCAGAGATGCTCTCTTCCCAGGACAGCCTGCATACTTAACCCGTCTTCCCCAGCCACACCCCAGAGCAACGATTCAAATTAAGCATATACATTTTCATTTTATTTTTCAAAAAACAAAAATTAATTGAGTTAAAGACCCAAGCAACACCAGGGAAATCTTCTGGTTATATATAACAAGAAAGTGCCCCAAGAAAACAAAAAATGGAGCCTCATTTTTTAATATTATGATAGTTTCACATAAAGGAAAACCCCAATAGCTGTACTTAAGGATTCCAGCTAAGTAAAATGATATAAACTGAAGTAACATTATAGCCACACTACAACAAACAGAGCTGCACTGAAAAATATGAAAAATACATACTCTGCATTTATGTATTTATGCATTTAAGATGTAAACTCAGAAAGGTGAATTTCATATTTTGTGGATTCTATGTGACCTGAACTAACCCAACCAGTTTATTCCAGGCACACCACTTTATTTTGTTTAACAGAAAGACAAAAAGCACATACCTCTTCAATGTGTGGTGGAATTTTAAAAGGAGGTTGAAACCAATATTTAATGATTTTCTGAAATTTCTTAATTAAAAGATAGCAGGTAATTGCTAAAATCACCACAGTAACTATAGTTCCAACAAATACTATTACAACGATTACAGTTTTGGTCACATCTGAAAAGAGAAAAAAAAAAGGTTGTATCACTATGTAACATACATATTCTTTTTACTCCATTTGTGTCAAGTTTATCAGCAAGTTCTGATTTAATTTTCACATTAAAAAGTTATCAGTTGTGTCGAACAACAATTTAAATTACATCATTATAATAAGTTGGGGACAGACTTCTCTTCTTTAATATGATACTGAAGCATTCTTTATTGTGTACTAGGCATGTTCAAATGTGCTTAATTAAGTAACCATGGAATTGCTGAGAATTTCACCGATTAAACAGTTACACATGGGGCGATTAGTGCGCACAGAGTACCAGCTTTTAAGCCAGCTCCTCGTATATGCCAGGGGCCTGTATGTAACTGTGAAGGTTAACTGATAAAGCACTGGGTAACTGGTGACATACCGAGTTGAAATTCACAGGCTGCAACCCAAATCCCCTTAAACAAAAAATTATAAATATTGATGTATTAGCCCTGTATAATTGTTCTATTAAGCAATGTTTCAGTACGAGATACCAGAATGGCAGACCCAGAGACTTCGCTCTCAGATTCATCCACCCTGCCCTGCTAAGGCAGTCTCGCACTGAAACATAGCGTAAATTTAGCATGTGAGTAGTTTCAGCAGTGTATGTACTTAAAGGTAAGAACATATTTTAAGAGCTTTGCTAGGTTAGAGCCAAAGTGTTCAGTGTCTTACCACCCTACAGTGGCACCTTCTTTGATACATTTGCATAGGAAGGGAAAAGAAAAAGTATGTAAGCATGAAGCCTATATGCCTAGAGATGATTCTTCTGGGTTAGCATATGAGATGTAGCATGAGAGCTTAAATCTACACTGGCCTTACAACAAAGTTTAAAACCGCATGTAAGCTCAGATATAGACAAACAAGATTTTAATGCTGTGGCCAACAGTGCAGAGGGGGCAAAACTTGACTGACTTCTGAATTGTGCTTGCCCTCCCCAACCTTGTCTCTGAATTCTCTCTCTCCAGCTACACAAATGGCAAAGTTGGCTATCTGGTGAATGGCATAGGGCAGACAGAGATGTGGCGAGTATCATTATTTTCTCTTTAAAGAAACTGGATTCAAGATAAGAAGAGGACCTACCAGTTAATAATTTCCCTTAAAAGACCAAAATATATTTGTATTTGTACATTCTTTAATGAGAAATATCCAAAATAGCCCAGTCAGCCCAAAAAAGGGGGGGGGGGGGAGGGAGATTTTTCTGGGGTGGGGAAAAGGAGGCAGACACTCTGCTTTACTTTCTCTTTTTTTAATTAAGCTGCTGAAAACTCATGTGAAAATGAATGAGAATATGCTCTTGAGCTACTCAAAAAAGTCCCCTTTTAGAACTGAAGACAGGTACTGATACAGTAAATCAAGGCAGGCAGCCATATATGGCTTAGATTTTATAACAGGTTCATCACAATGGAGATAAAAGAGTTGTTCATGAAGTAAGATTTATACCATCAACTGTAGTTTTGTTACAAATGATGTCGCTTAACAGTCCAATGTTGCTCTTAAGTACAAGGTCTCCCAAGAGTTCTGCTTGTATTTGAAAACAATACTCTGTCATTTGTTTTAAATTCTGAAGTTTAATTTGTGTATTCCTGGTCTGTATAGATTTCTGTTTAAAAAAAAAGTTCTATGTTAGAGCAAAGTAATATTATTATAAAACATTTCTATTAAGAATTATTTTCAATATAGATTAACTTGAAATCACAAGTTTCCATTTAAAAGCTTCACAATATTCTGTTTTATAACTATTAATGTATATAACCTGCAAGAGGAGTAGCAGTGTAACAGTATGAACTTCTTATTGTAGTGCATTTTAAATGCACATTTTATGAAATAGAGGCACTCCTCCTCAAAAAAACAAAATCTGGCTAGTTACACTCCCTATCTATCACAGACATGATTATTTTGTGAAGGCATGTAGCTTGGCAGAGGGAGTTGGAATTGTAAAAACCAAAAACCAAAAATATCCTCAAAAACAAGTCTGTTGTTTTAAAATACCATCATCTAAGATGGGATTCCTAAAACCATTAATCTAGGGATTACAGACAAATGCAAAATTTGGTTGCATGTTCTGCATAAACCTTCCACTCTTGACACCAGTGCCACTGGCACAAGATAGCAAGAACTGAATTAGATAAAGTTCTAGCCAATGAAGATCCTGACTTTCACCAGTTTCCCTCTTTGCTCACTCACAAGAATGGAGCTGGCAGGGAGAATTGTAGGGCAATGCTAAATGCATTTTTATGTCCACAATCTTAACACAGCTAGCAGTTTGCCTCCCCCCCCCTCCCCGCCACTAATAACACTGACAGCTAGGATTCAAGAGTCTGAGTTCTGACTCATCTGTCTGCCAGTTGGAGGAGGAGGAAGATGTTACAAGTAAATCAGAAAATTTTGATGTTTCTGATTTAAAGGAGGGAGATGATTTAATCTTGACACAGCCTTTTTAAAAAGTGCAGCTAAACTTAATTGAAATCAAAAGGGTTAAGTTGTTTGAAAGCCAGAAGCAAATAATTTAATAAAAAGGGAAAAAATTTGGCGGGTCTCTGTCTTTACAGCAAAACACTCCTCATTTAGGGTAGTCTATTCATCTCAAAGCCACCGTGTCTAAACTGGGGATTTTCCTTGCTTATAGCTACTGGGGGCTCAGATAAAGTTTGACTATGCTAGGGATTTGGTGGTGTACACAATGTGTTTGCAAAACCTCAACAGGCCATGATCTGAATGGACACAGTTCACCTTTCTTGATACTGTACAAATGAGGTCTTGTAGCAGCTTTGCACCTGTCTACATTAGGGCTTTTATTTGAACCAGCACAGCTACTCCAGTAGTAACTGGACACAAGTGGTGGAAGTTCCCAGAGCAAACAAGGCCTAATAAAGAGAAAAATCTTAGAGATCCTAAGTACAATGTTCAAAAGTACCTAGGGAGTCCCATTTGCAAAAGCGACTTGGGCTCCCAAACACCTTGAAAATCAGACTCCTAAGTCACTTAAGGATGTTGGAAAACTTCACATCCAGTCATTTAGCAATACATAATGCATTTGAGCCCCGATTAAATTCACTTCCCTTCAGTTCTGATGGAAAAAAGATGATTACTACAACTGTGTCCTCCATTGATTTCTACCATTTTGCCAAAGAAAGTAGAGAAATAAGAATTCTTACCTTTAGTTTATTTGTTGATTTCTCCCAGTAGAACACATTATACCACAAATTATCTTCTTGGAAACCATCTTCTTTGAAAAGGGGCAAGAAACTAAGTAAAAGTGAATCAGATGTTGAAGTCACATTTTCTATAACAGGAGGTCCTATAATAGCTGAAAATAAATAAAAAATAGATGAACATTTGGAATTTTTAAAAATGAGCATGTTTCCTGCTAGTTAAAATCTGATACATAATATGAAACTACTGACATCTTGTTAGCTGGAGGAAATATAGGGCATTCAAATACATTTACTCCTTAATTATTTCAAATAGCTACATGACACTAAACATTTGTTTTAATTTAGCTTTTTATGTGCATTTAAATGATATGAAGAATCATTTCCTGTCTAATTTACCTTGAAAAATGATCAAACTGTAGCAGGATCTATCTGCAGTTCACACTGACTTTTACATGGCCTTGTTGCTATTAATCTGATTTAAATTTTTCTTTCAAAATGCAAGATGCATTCTGGGCTTCCAGCAAAATAAGCTTAGTCTGTGCCAACAGATAGGACATTGGACTTAGAATCAGAAGATGTGGGTTCTGTTACTAGTTATGCTACTTACTCATTGCGTAATTTTGGGAAAAATCATTTCACTCTATTCCTCACTTTTATCCCCAGTGACATTTACTATCATTTGCAAAGCACTGACAACTACAGATAAATACACGGTATGTATGTTTTACCTATTATTATTACTATTATTTCTGATTAGTAGTCTCTCTCACACCCCATGACCAGGCAATCAACTTCAGAATAGCGTGTCTCATGCCCATAGTCAACCTACACCTGGAGAAGGTCACAAAAGGAAACTGACAAAGATGTTATAGCCAGCTGCATCTGTGAAATGCTCCTGTATTTCAAAATGGCACTACTGTTATATGCTGCAGTTGTTGAGAAAAAGAAAGCAAAAAGATTCTGGAGGAAGAAGACGAGAAGACTGATGCAGCAAAGAGGAGAGGTGAGATGCGTGCAACAGGATAGAAGGAGAACCCAGGCCTTGTCCACAGTTAGGGATTTGTACTGGTTCTAGTCACAGGTGTGACTACATTAGTACCCATCCCAGTACAGGGCAAAACTGGTATTTGCTCTACAGCAAGTTACCTTTATTTTAAGCCAGATTAGGTCTAATCAGTGCACATAGCAGCTATACCTGTCTACCTTAGGAGTTTGCACTGCCCCAGCTACATCAATGGCTTATCTCCAATGGCTGGGATGGGAGCAAACCCCGTGTAGCTTGGGCCTAAAAACGATGAAAAGAAATGGATATGTTTGTATGTTATATTTTAATTTTACCATTGAACATTTGGTTGGTCACCTAAGTTTGGAAGGGAATTGCTAAAACAGGAGGTGAGGAAACTCTTTTGGGGTCGAAGGCCACTGACCCACAGAATAATCAGTCAGAGGTCACACACAAGTGAGAAACAAAAAACAACCACCAAAAAATTCCTCACTGGCCTGACCCCCAAGTGAGGAGAGAAGCCCCCCCCCACAGATGTGGCCCCCAACCTGAGACACCTCACTCCCCTCAAGCTCTAGCCTCATGGGGGTAGAGATGGGTGGGGGTGGAGGAAGGAAGGTGCTGAGGCTCAGGGCTTACCGCCAGGACTGGATTAATTCTTCTGGGGGCCTGAGATTTTGTGGGGCTCCCCAGAGCTCTGGGGTGAGGCAAAATAATGAGGTGTTCAGTGTACGGGAAGGGGCTGCCGGGAAACATTCTGAGGGTAGAAGAGCTCTGGGGCCTGGGTAGGAGGTAGGTACAAGAGCAGGCTGGGGGTGAGGGTGTGGGGTCTGGGCGGGAGGTAGGGTGCAGGAATGGGCTTGTGTTGTGGGGTCTAGGTAGGAGGGAAGGAGAGGACTGGGATGCCTACTTGGTGCAGCTCCTGGAGGGAGAGGGGGAGCACAGATGTCTTCATATGGCTCTGAGCACTGCAGGGAAGCTTTCTCTGCAGGCACTTCCCTCCACACAGCTCCTGCTGGCCATGATTCCCAGCCAAGAGAAAGATGGGTTGGTGTATGCAGGGAGCACTTCCCTGCAGTGCACATAGCCACTTCCCCCTGACAGATCCAGCCTGCAGGCCATAATTGCCGCCATCCCTGTGCTAAAATGTACCTTCCAGTTCAGATACAAGACAATCAAGCAATTAGTTTATCCCTAATTATTGTTACTGCATGGCATGAAGAAAAAAGGTGAGTTGCTCTGAACTCTTAGGTTACATCTACACTGCAGGCTTTTTGCACAAGAATGGATGTTCTTGCGCAAAAACTTGTGGTGCATCTACACTGCACGTGCGTTCTTGCTCAAGTAAATTTACAGTAAAGTGTTGGAACAGAGGGCTTCTTGCACAAGAATCCCCTATGGCTAAAATGGCCATCAGAGCTTTATTGCGCAAGAGAGCATCCACATTGCCATGGATGCTCTTGTGCAAAAGCACATGGCAGTGTGGACGTGCTCTTGCACAAGACCTTTTGTGCAAGAACTCTTGCGCAAAATACTTCTTGCGCAAGAAAGTCTGCAGTGTAGACGTAGCCTTGGGTTTATTGAAATGCTTCTGCTCTGCTCACAATTATTTTGGAGAAAGTTGGCTCTCTAGTTAATACTTTGGATTATGAACTTTTTTAGTTCATCAAGCCTTGTTACAGCTGCAACTCCAGTCTCTCCTTTCATGTGTTCTCTCTTCTGAGCAGTTGGTTGGGAAGTGTCCCTGGGCAGGTAACACTCTCTGCTGCACCTTCCTTTCCTCGCCACTTTCCTTTCACTGAGGGTGTGAAACATGCGGGGGAGGGGGAGTAAAGGGGAGGAGAGTGATCGCAGGGCTGATTTGAAGGCGTGTGGAAAAAGGCGGACAAGCCAGAAGGTTAACATCTGAGTTGACAGGAACTGATTTTAGGACTGGTTACATAAGTTGGCAGAAGAGAAAGCTGCTGGCTTTTAAGGACACATGGAGGACAGGGGTAGGTGTGGAATCAGCCTTTCCCCTGCCCTGCTCCCACTGAGCTTCTACTTTGCTTTGTGCTCTCTTTGAGCTAACCCCCTTCCCAGAGACTCCATTCCCAGGTTGGGAAATGGGGGAAAGAATGAATCACTTCTCCTCTAAATATGATTTCAGACTGAATTTCTAAACAAAGCAAGTCCACCACAAACTCTCCTAGTCCAGAAACCAGCCATAACAAGGGAACTGGCAGATGATACTTCTAAATGGTAATATTAAATCCATCCTGATGTTATCATTATGGTGCACTCCCTGTTATCTGCATACCAAAGGGGACACTAATTTTATTTGTATAACCTTAAATGTGGATAACTGAAAGGGCAGGGGCCATTCAACAGCAGGGTGACCCTCCCCCCCACCCTTCATGGCCAGGGGCTGGTCCTCCTCCTCCTCCTCACAGTCCTGGCTGTATGTCTCTACTCTGCCCTGATAGGACTGCTTCTCCCTCCCACAGAGACTGGCACGGATCTCTCTGCAGCCCTGCTATCATGGGAGTGAGCGAGCAGGGCCATGACAGTAGAACTGTAGAGGAGTCCCTGCACTGCCCCAGAAGCCATTCAGCAATAATGAGCTCATCCTCACAGCCCTGGCCAGAGATCTCTGCTCTGTTATCTGAACTCATCCTTGTCCTCCAGCATGCAATACAGGCTGCAGAGGTCACATCTCTCATGCTGGGGGAAAACAAAAAACAGGACTATGTAGCACTGTAAAGACTAACAAGATGGTTTATTAGGTGATGAGCTTTTGTGGGCTGGACCCACTTCCTCAGATCAATATGTGGAAGAAAACTGGCATGACCAGATATACCAAAGGGATACAATCAAAAAAAGTGAACACATATAAAAAGGACAAATCAAATTTCAGAACAGAGAGGGGATCAGGCGGGGCGGGGAGAAGGAAGGGATTTAGACACCTTGGAAGTTCAGATCATAGGGTTTTGGATAAACAAAAGTATCCTGTATTAGTGCTCCCTGTGTATCCCTGACATCTTTATACTCTAGAACTAGGGTATAACGTAATTGTTAATTGAATAATTGTTCTAGTCCGGAGGAGAGGATGGAAGTATGGGTTAGATGAGGAGACACAATCAAAGAGTCTAACATCAGGAAATGGCAGATAAATAGTGACAAATCATTGAAGTGCTTATACATAAACACTAGAAGTCTAAATAATAAGATGGGTGAACTAGAGTGCTTCATTTTAAAGAAGGATATTGATATAATAGGCATCACAGAAACTTGGTGGAGTGAGGACAATTAATGGGACGCAGTCATACCAGGGTACAAAAACTATCAGGAGGACAGAACAGGTCGTGCTGGTGTGGTAATGGCACTATACATGAACAAAAAATGTAGAATCAAATTAAGTACAAATCTTAAATGAGCCAAAATGTTCCATAGAATCCCTATAGATAGTAATTCCATGCTCCAATGATAAGAATATATTATCCTATCATAATACAAGGGGATAAGGGATATATTATTGACCACCTGATCAGGACAATGATAGTGACTATGAAATGCTAAGGGAGATTAGAGAGGCTATCAAAATAAAAAACATGATAATAGTGTGGGATTTCAACTATCCCCATACTGACTGGGTACACCACCTCAGGACAGGATACAGAGATAAAATTTCTTGATACCTTAAATGACTGCTTCTTGGAGCAGCTGGTTCTGGAACCCACAAGGGGAGAGCTATTCTTGATTTAGTCCTAAGTGAAGCATAGGATCTGGTCCAAGAGGTAAATGTAACTGGACAGCTTGAAAATAGTGACCATAATGCAATAAAATTTAACATCATTATGGTGGGAAAAACACTTCAGCAGCCCAACACTGTGGTATTTCATTTCAGAAAGGGGAACTACAGAAAAATGAGGAAGATAGTTAAACAGAAATTAAAAGGTACAGTGACAAAAGTAAGATTTCTGCAAGTTGCATGGAAACTTTTCAAAGACACCATAATAGAGGCCCAACTTAAATGTATACCCCAACTTAAAAAACACGGTAAGAGAACCAAAAAAGTGCCGCCATGGCTTAACAACCAAGCAAAAGAAGCAGTGACAGATAAAAATACATCTTTTAAAAAGAGGAAGTCAAATCCTAGTGAGGAAAATAGACAGTACCATAAACTTTATTTGACAAAGTGTAAAAATATAACAAGAAAAACCAAAAAGGAGTTTGAACAACAGCTAGCCAAAAACTCACAAGGTAAGTACATCATAAGCAGGAAGCTGGCTAAACAACCAGCGGGGCCTTGGACAATCGAGATGCTAAAGGAGCGCTCAAAGAGGATAGTCATTGCAGAGCAGCTAAATTAATTCTTTGCTTCAGTCTTCACGGCTGAGGATATTGGGGAAATTCCCAAACCTGAGCCATTCTTTTTAGGTGACAAATCTGAGGAATTGTCCCAGGTTGAGGGTCATGAGAGGAGTTTTTGGAACAAACTGATAAACTTAACAGTAAAAAGTCACTGGACCAGATGGCATCACCCAAGAGAAATGGCGCAGGGAACCCTGGATCAACTGGGAAGTCCCCCTCTGATCCCAGGCTCCATGGCTTTGAAATGTACAAGAGTCCCTGCTGAGGACTCTTGTGCATTTCAAAGAAAGCACCTGTGTGCAGCCCGGAATCAGCGGGACTTCCTGCTGGCCCCAGGCTGAATACAGAGTTCATTCAACATTCCTTCTTTGAAATGTACAAGAGCCCCAATAGGGGTTCTTGTACATTTCAAAGAAGAAATGAGGAAGTGCCTATCAACTAGTCGACCAGTCAATGGAAATTCCATCGACTAGTCAATTAACCACATTTTAACAGCCTTAATTCCTAACATAGCAAGTCCCATCATGTGTCTTTTGACTTCTCTCATATATAATACAAAGTGATGAAAACCAAGACCATATAATAACAATTACATGAAATTTTCTTTAAGGGTGAGAGGCTGAGATCATAAAAGACTTACTGTCTTGTTTTGCTACAAAGTCATTTGTTTCCACCCAGTCAGATTTCACTTGTCCTAACTCAGCTCTAACACGTAAAGTAATTGTCCAATAGCTTTTGATAAATGGATGTGTGAAATTGCATTCAGTCTTTGTAATGTTTGTGCAGTTAATTTCTTCCCAGTCCTCACAGGCCTTTCTGCAATACAAAATGAATAGGAAAAAAGGTCAACAGAATCACCTCACCTCACAGCTAGCACAACTGACAGCTGATAGCAAACGCTCCCCAAAATATAATTCTTTACACCAGTGGTCACCAACCAGTAGATGGGGATCTACTGGTAGATCTTGGAGCCTCTGACAAGTGATCCTGACTGCTTTGGCCAAGAGGCTATCAAGTGCCTACACTTCAGCTGCCCCTTACCCCCACTGCTGTGCATCTCCTGCCCCTCCCCCTGGGAGTCTCCTGCTTTCTGTGCAGGGCAGGGGAGGGAAAAGAGGGGTGCTGATGTCAGGGTGCCCCCTCTCCCATTCTGTATCCTTTCTCTACAGAGCAGAGAGGAGGCACAACAGGACCAGGGATGGTGTTTGCTGGCTGTTTTTGGGAGTGGTTCAGGGCCAGGGCACGGGTGAGCCTGCCTTAGCCCCACTGCACCACCACCACCCAGGAGCCACCAGCAGTGCCCAGATGGAGCCCACATCCCAAACTCCTACCCGAGTCATGAGCCCCCTCATGTACCCCAAGCCCTTATCCTAGCTCTGAGCACCCCTGCATCCAAACATCCTGCCAGAGCCTGCACTTAGAACCCCCTCCTACATCCAACTGCCTGCCCCTAGAGCAGCTCAGAGCCCCTCTCACACTCTAAATCCCTAAATCCAAGACCAGAGCCTGCGCCCCAACCCTCTGCCCCAGCCTGACGGAAGTGAGTGAGGATGGGCAAGAGAAGGAGGCTGGAGTGAGCAGGGGCGGGGCCTTGGAGAAGGGGTAGGAAGGTAGTGGGGCAAGGGTATTTATATACGAGGTAGATCTTGGGTTGCACTTAAATTCAAAAAGTGATCTAGTGCTTAAAAAGGTTGGAGACCCCTGCTTTACACCTAGCCCATTTCTAAAGAATCAAAATTTTATATCAAAGTACAACTTTCAAGCAGTTTTATTCTACAACCTTGCAACACCTTCTCTTGAAATATCTGAAAGTTTTCAAAATGTAGCCAACTAAAAATGTCATGAGATAGGCAGGGGACAGACTGTAAGCTCAGAGCCTGAGTACCTTTCACTATTACTCCTAATGAAATTCTGCATCAAAAAATTACAAATCCCATGAACAAATTCTGAAAAACACTGTGTATTTTATTTACACAAAACAAAGGCGAAGGCTCCAGGATGGCAGTGGGGAGCACAGATCACTGGTTGCACAGAGGTGACAGATCACCCTACAGTCCTCTCCTTGGAGACAGACTCAGCTTTGAGGCTGAACCTGCCCCGGCACAGTGCAAGGGTCAGGCCTGCCACAGAAACACCAGGGTACCTGCCTGCCGGACCAGGCATTTGTATATTGTAACTATTACTTACGTAGTATACTGGACTGTATATAACACTGAGCCACTGTTGACTTTAACAGGAGCCCATCTCAATAAATTCTGATAATTATATGAGTAAATTGTCACATTCTGTGGTGCTGGTAACTGGAGCAGATATTCTACGAGAGAGAGAGAGAGAGAGAGAGAGAGAGAATCAAAACAGTAAATACAATTTTTCACCACACAGTAATTTTCCTTGTCTCCAAAATTCACGGCCATGTATTTTTATAGCTTTGCCATAACCTTGTCTCTCCCACCTACTGCAGAACAAGAGACCTCCCCATCCCCATTTCCAAGTGTATAATGTACCAATGCCCTTCCCTCTCTATTACGTATTATTGTTTTCTGTACTATTGCCTAATACTAGGCACAAGCTGTAGTTCACAGGTAAATTCAATATCGTAAAGAAAGGTTTTGGGAGAAGAAACAATAGGAAAAAAAATCAAATCAGTTCATTTTTATTGTAGATTAAACTGACAGAACCACTCTGATATACAGGTTACCCAGCACTTCCAGTTACAGAACCCTGAATCACTTGTTTATAACTTTGCCAAACTTAATCAGTTGGGCTGACATTTTCCACACTGGGACTATGTCTACACTGTCAGGTTCTTGAGCAAGAACTCTTGCACAAGAACACGTCCACACTGCCATGTGCTTTTGCGCAAGAACCTCCATGGCAGTGTGAATGCTCTCTTGCGCAAGAAAGCTCTGATGGCCATTTTAGCCATAGGGCTTTCTTGCATAAGAAACCCCTGCCGCGAGTACACACCGCCCTCTTGCACAAGAGCCCTTGCGCAAGAGGGCTTACACCTGTTAGAAAAGAGTGTAGCTTTTGCGCAAGAAGCCCAAAAGCTTCACTTTACTACCACACTTTACTGTAAAACTTCTTGCGCAAGAGTGGGCAGGCAATGTGGATGCTCTGTGGAAGAATTGCCATTCTTGCGCAAGAACCCACCAGTGTAGACCTAGCCTGGGTGTCTGGCTCAAGCTAAATTTTTTTGAAACCTTCAGGCAAAATGGATCAGCCATCAAGATTAGGAAAACATGTTGTTTTTCCCATGTTAAAAAAATTCATGCAGCCATTTCACTGTGAAGTTCTAGTACAGGTTGAACCTCTGTAATCCGGAACTCCCTCGTTTGGCAACACCTCTGGTTCAGTATCCTCGGCAACCCTCTGGATGCTCTAGGGCTGGAGCATTCCCTGGGAAAAACTAGCACCAAGCTCCTCTCACTGCTCCCCTTCTCCTGCAAGCTGGCAGCGCTGCACTAAGCAACTCTTTTCTCACCTGCCAAAGTTTCTGGAGCACTGCAAACAGTTGATGTGCGGAATTCAAACACAAGGAGGGAAGAGAAGGAGTATGGCCAGGATGTGCTTGAGGGAGGAGATTTGAGGCATGTGGAACGCTGGGGAGTTGGGAGCAGAGCCTGTGCCTGGGCAGAGGGGGTCTTGGTTCAGAAAATTTCCTGGCTTGGGACTTGTCAGGTCCCAAGGGTGCTGGACCAGGAGGTCCAAACTGTACCTCCATGCTTTGGAGCAGGGGCTTGAAATTTGATAGGGGATGGCCTTTGGCTATTCCCATGAAAAAATGTCCAAATTCAGCTAAATTACTCTGAATCATATGCTCAGCAGAGGACTTATTAGAATTCTGGAGCTAAACTATCTACTGCCCACACTGAGCATGCTGCATTCCATAGCTACTATGGTGGGGCCAAGCACCAAAACTGAGGGCAGAAGGACTGTACTCTTAATGACCCTCCTGTTGGTGCCTAGGTAACACAGAAGAAGAAGGTGTCGGATCAAGGTACAGGGGATTACTGCCACACTGGGGCAGGGGAGGGAGGATATCGGAACAAGGAGTCTGGTGAGGGAGGGACAGACAGAGGGGAAGGGACAGACTAGTACAGGAGCCTGGAGTACAGGGGGGGAAGAAAATAAATTGCAACTACTGGGAGCTAAGGGGCCACTGAGACTGGCTAGGCAAGAAGGCAGGTGAGGAACAGCTCAAACAAAGAGATTAAGGGATGGAGACAAGACAGGACTACACAGAGTGGAAGGGGACAAGTTTGTGAGGAACAGGCACACAGGTCTATGAGAACAGGAGGAGGAGTTGCACTGTATGTAAGAGAGCAGTATGATTGTTTGGAGCTCCAATACTTAGAGGGAGAAAAGACTGATGAGAGTCCATGGATTAAATTTAGAGCTGGAAGCAACAGGGGGGATGTTGTGGTTGGTGTCTGCTACAGATCGCTGGATCGGGTGGATGAGATAGACGAAGCTTTCTTTGGACAACTGAGAGAAGCTTCCAGGTTGCAGGCCCTGGTTCTCATAGGCGACTTTAATCACCCTGACATCTGTTGGGAGACCAATACAGCAGTACACAAACAATCCAAGAAGTTTTTGGAGAACGTTGGGGCTAACTTCTTGGTACAAGTACTGAAGGAACTGATCAGGGGCCATGGGCAGCTTGACCTGCTGCTCACAAACAGGGAGGAGCTAGTAAGGGAAGTAGAGGTGAGTGACAACCTGGGAAGCAATGATCATGAGATGGTAGATTTCAGGATCCTGACCAAAGGAAGAAAGGAGAGTAGCAAAATACACACCCTGGACTTCAGAAGACCAGACTTTGACTCTCTCAGAGAACTGATGGGCAGGATTCCCTGGGATGCTTACATGAAGGGGAAAGGAATCCAGGAGAGCTGGCAGTATTTTAAAGAAGCCTTATTAAAGGCACAGGAAGAAACCATCCCGATGCACAGCAAGAAAAGCAAATACGTTAAGTGACCAGATTGGCTTACCGGGGACATCCTTGGTGAGCTTAACCACAAAAAGGAAGCTTACACGAAGTGGAAACTTGGACAGGTGACTAGGAAGGAGTATAAATATATTGCTCAAGAATGCAGGAGAGTTATCAGGAAGGCAAAAGCGCAATTGGAATTGCAGCTGGCAAGGGATGTGAAGGATAACAAGAAAGGTTTCTACAGGCACGTTAGCAATAAGAGGGTGATCAGAGAGGGTGTGGGACCCTTACTGGATGAGGGAGGTAACCTAGTGACAGATGATGTGGGAAAAGCTGAAGTACTTAATGCTTTCTTTGCCTCTGTCTTCACAGACAAGGTCAGCTCCCAAACAAATGCACTAGACAACAGTATGGGAAGGAAGTGGACGGTCCTTGGTGGGGAAAGAACAAGTTAGGAACCATTTAGAAAAGCTAGACATACACAAATGCATGGGCCCAGATTTAATGCATCCAAGGATACTGAGGGAGCTGGCAAATGTTATTGCGGAGACTTTGACCATTATCTTTGAAAACTTGTGGAGATTGGGAGAGATTCCAGATGACTGGAAAAAGGCAAATGTTGTGCCCATCTTTAAAGAAGGGAAGAAGAACAATCCAGGGAACTACAAACCAGTCAGCCTTACCTCAGTCCCCGGAAAAATCATGGAGGGGATCCTCAAGGAATCCATTTTGAAGCACTTGGAAGGGAAAGTGATGAGGAATAGTCAATAGGGATTTACGAAGGGCAAGCCATGCCTGACCAATCTGATTAGCTTCTATGATGAGGTAACTGGCTCTGTGGACATGGGAAACTCAGTGGATGTGATATACCTTGACATTTGCAAAGCTTTCGATACGGTGTCCCACAATATTCTTGCCAGCAAGTTAAGGGAGTATGGATTGGATACATGGACTGTAAGATGGACAGAAAGCAGGCTAGACTGTCGAGACCAACGGGTAGTGATTAACGGCTTGATGTCAGGTTGGCGGTCGGTTTCTAGCAGAGTGCCCCAAGGATCGGTTCTTGGACCAGTTTTGTTCAACATCTTTATTAATGACCTGGATGAGGGGATGGGGACACTCAGCTAAAGGGAGAGGTAGATATGCTGGAGGGCAGGGGCAGGGTCCACAGTGACCTGGATAGATTAGAGGATTGGGCCAAAAGGTTCAACAAGGACAAGTGTAGAGTCCTGCACTTGGGACAGAAGAATCCCAAGCATTGTTACAGGCTGGGGACTGAATGGCTAAGTAGCAGTTCTGCAGAAAAGGACCTGGGGGTTACAGTGGATGAGAAGCTGGCTTTGAGTCAACAGTGTGCCCTTATAGCCAAGAAGGCTAATGGCATATTAGGGTGCATTAGAGGACCATTGCCAGTAGAGCCAGAAAAGTGATTATTCCCCTTTATTCGGCTCTGGTGAGGCCACATCTGGAGTACTGTGTCCAGTTCTGGGCTCCCCATTATAGAAAGGATGTGGACGCATTGGAGAGGGTTCAGCGGAGGGTGACCAAAATGATTAGGGGGCTGGAGCACATGACCTATGAGGAGAGACTGAGGAATTTGGCTTGTTTAGTTTGCAGAAGAGAAGAGCGAGGGGAGATTTTAAAGCAGCCTTCAACTTCCTGAAGGGAGGTTCCAAAGAGGATGGAGACACGCTGTTCGCAGTAGTGACGGATGGCAGAAAAAGGAGCAATGGTCTCAAGTTACAGTGGAGAAGGTCTAGGTTGGATAGTAGGAAAAAACTATTTCACTAGGAGGGTGGTGAAGCACTGGAATGGGTTATCTAGGGAGGTGGTGGAATCTCCATTCCTACAGGTTTTTAAGTCTCGTCCTGACAAAGCTCTGGCTGGGTTGATTTAGTTGGGATTGGTCCTGCCTTGGGCAGGGGGCTGTACTTGATGACCTCCTGAGATCTCTTCCAGCTCTATGATTCTAAGTCCTGCTGACTCTGGGCTCCATACTGTGCTTCCTCTTTGAAATGCACAAGAGCTCTCACTGGGGACTCTTGTACATTTCAAAGCTGGCATGCCACACGGAGCCTGGGATCATCTGGGGACTCTGCATCTGACCCCGGGCTCAGTGCAGTGCTGCTGCTTAGAAATGTTGGGGACAGCCCAGGATCAGCTGGGACTCCCCAGCTGATCTTGACCTGTGTGTGACATTTCAAAGTGGCTTGGAGCCTGGGATCAGTTGGAGGCTCCCCAGCTGAACCTGGGCTCCATGCGGTGCTGCCACTTTGAAACGCCACTACAGCATTTCAAAGAGGCAATGCTGCACAGAGCCTGGGGTCAGCTCTATGCGGTGCTGCTGCTTTGAAATGCTGCACCAGCATTTCCAAAGGACTGCGCCATGTGGAGCCCGGGATCAGCTGTGTGGCACTGTCCCTTTGAAACGCCACTGCGGCATTTCAAAGCGGCAGCACCACATGGAGCCCAGGATTCCGGGTTTCATGCAGCACTGCCACTTTGAAGTATCCCCCCCCTTAATGCCTCTATCCTATAGAAGCAGCAAGGGGGAAGGGCGGGAGAAGCGACTAATTGACTATTATGTCGACTATCTAATGAGCATTTGTTTATTGGATAGCTGACTAGTTCTTAACATCCCTAAACTGCAGTCAACAAGGTAAAAACTTCCCAAATTAATAAATGCAAAATGAGCCTGCCAGCCATTATTGAAATAGATGGGAGAAACCCCCATGGAATGAGACACAGTTAAAACAAAATACAGAAAAAAACCTACCCACAGCACAAACTAACAGCTAAGTATAAAACAGAACAATGAATTTCATAGACAAAACAAATACCATTTTAAATGGCCTTTTGTGTTTTTCCATTAATCTGAGTCACCATGTGATGTTTCATATCATTTAGGTATGATTACACCGTATTAAAGCACAAAATGTCAGATCAATGAGTTCCTTCCAACATTTAAATTTCTTTGATTTCTTCTATCAATTGGAATATCAAAATTAACAGTTTTGTATCTCAAAATACCCAGTACTTAGTCTGTCCGTATTTTTTAAAAAGCAAAATTACATCCGAGAAGCATGAGACACGAGTGTATTATAGTTTGCCTCCCAGTTATCATTTTATAACCCCATCTGTGAGGATATTGGAATGCTACAAGGCAAGAGTTGAAACAGGGGTTTCCACTCCTGATGATGGCATAGCAAGGTGGCAGCACTGTGACATGTTACAAGCAAGACTTACTGACTTCAATTAGTAAACTGCTTAGAAAAGTTGAAATCCAAAGATATACATAATTTAGCCATTTAAAAAAAATGAAAAAAAATTAGAAAAGGGGAAAGGCCTATCTACTTCAGAAGTCTTGGCTCTACCATAGGCAGACAGCAGGGAGGGGGAACCTAACGTCCAGTCCCTGGCTTGCATGGAGCCGGCATTCGAGGCTCAGGGCTCCTCCTCAGCACTGGGGAGCCCCCACAACCTTCCCACAGGGCTGGAACATTCAAAATCCACTATCCTGGGCTCCAGCAGGCTCTGGTGTGAGAGGGGAATGTGAGGAGTCTCTCTCCTCCTCAGTTAGGGGAGCATCAGTGAGGGTTTGGATGTTTTTGTTTTATTGGGGGGGTTTTTGCTTCTCACTTGTGTGTAGCTCCTGACTGATTTTTCTGTGGGTCAGCGGCCTCCGACCCAAAAGAGGTTCCCCACCCCGGCATACAGCAACAGAGAAGTACTTCTAAATGGATTTTATTTAATTCAACTTTAAGCATTGGACCTCAGAAATGTGATTTTACATACCCTCACTAGGTATGTAAAATTTTACATACCAACTCAAGAAGTGATGCACTGTGGGTGGCTGTCCCATAGTCCCTGCAGCAGACTGGAATTCTGGACTAGTGTCCCAATGCCTCATGATATGAAAACTTATCGCAGGTAGTAATGGGGGCACATCAGACTCCCACGTCTGTGTCTCAGAAGCAGCCTTGTCCTGTGGTGCACTTGTCTAGGCTCCTTTATAGTAATATGGCATTGCTGTGTGTCCCTGATGTAGCCCTCATCCACTATGCCCTGGGTGATTCTGATAGAATCACCCAGAATCATTTCTGACACAGATAGCACCCTTTCTTTTGCTGGTTCAGAGCTCTGCCTGCACAGACTTGCCCCAACTTCCGCAGTAATCATATCCATTGTCTCCTGAATGCTCAGTGCTGGAGGCATTTGTGATCTTGGCCACGCATGTTCAGCTGTGCTGGTGAACTCTGCATGCTGCTCCAACAGGAAATGTACAGTCAGAAATTCCTGGGACTTTTCCTGCTCACCTAGCTGAAGAGTATTGGGGTTCAACTTCAAAGCACTTGCCAGAGCATTTACAACTGAGCACTCTGGATCATCACCAGGACTCTGAATTACAATAAAAGGTGTTTCCACTGCCCTTAATTTGAGATGTGAATGATGCCTGAGGCTTTACTCCACTTGCTCAGGCAGAGTACAGGGGTCAATTTTAAAAGCCCGCATGAGGGCAGAAGGGACTGAGCAGTGTAGACACATTCATTACAAATTCAACCTAATGGATGAATACTAGGGATGTTAAATATTGGTTAACTGAATAGTCAATTAATCCAGTGCCGTAACTAGCTAATTTTGCGCCCGAGTCAAGTATATAAAATTGCGCTCCCTCATGTTTATATATTCAAAGTAGTTATTTTGTAGAAAAAGGGAAAATACATAAACAACAATAATTAATTTTAGTTTACTAAAACTTCTTTCGCAAGAAGCCACAGTCACTGGCAAGCAGAGAAATATTCACAAGTTGATTTCCAAATATGGGAAAGATTCGGTCAGATTATATTCATGAATTAACTGTAGAACGTCCAGACTAGTTGCAGATGAAACATCTGGCAACAACACTAACACCTGATGTTTAAAACTCTGAATCTCTGATGAAATTTACGAGGCATTCAAATCACTGTCATATTTAAAATTTAAATCGACTGCTGCTTTTTGAAGATTAGCAGTATCCGTTTTAACAAAAGAATCGCCTGAAAAAAAAACCCCGCTTCAATTCTTAAACTTAAATACAATAGCCTTTAAATGGTTCACACTCCCAGTTAAAATAGTTATCTTGAAAACTGGAAACATTAAGGGATTGCCACATTGACTTTACCATGGACCTCATAAAGGAAACATCTTATTAGAAATTGGACAATGGCACTCCTAAGGGGCGGTCCATGTTGACTGTCGTCAGTGCGAGCAGGGGCACTGATGTGGCACAAGCAAAGATAGCTTAGTACAGTGGTCTCCCAACCTTTTTACACCCAAGATCACTTTTTAAACATCAGGACAAGTCAAGATCGACCCCATGCCTTCCCCAAGACCCCACCCCTTCCTTGAGGCTCCGCCCTCTCTGTTCCCCTCCTCTCCATCACTTGCTATCCCAGCCCTTATACACTCTCACTGGGTTGAGACAGGAGGTGTGAGCTCCTATGTGGGAATGAGGGATATGGTGTGGGAAGGGGTGAGAGGTACAATCTCTGGGAGGGAATGTGGATGCAGGAAAAGGTAGAGAAGGGGATGCTGGCTCAGGGAAGGGGCTTCAGGCTGAAGAGTGTTGGGCTCAGGTGGAGGGTTGGGGTGCTGAGAAAGCCGCAGGCTTGTGGATGTGAGGGTGCAGGAGCTTGGATTGGGTGTTTGAGGAGCTCAGGGCAGGGAGGCTGGGAGCATGATGGGCTCAGGACACAGATTTGTGGGGTGTGGATGGTGCAGAAGTGTGGCAGAGGACTAAGGATGGGGGGGCAGGAGTTAGGGGATATGAGATGCTCAGGACAGGGGGTTCCAGTGTATGATTGGCTCAAATGTGAGGTCTGGGGGAGGTGCAGGAGTGTTATGATGCTGCCACCTAATGGGAGCTTGGACCCAATTGGGGGTTTGTTGGCCAGGCTTAATTTTTAAATAAAATATTATGTCAAACACAAAATGTTTCAGCATTGTCTTTATTTATGAGAGGGGCGGGGAACCTGTTTTGAGTCAGGGGTCACTGACCCACAGAAAAGTCAGTCAGGGCCACACAAGTGAGATGCAAAAAAACAACACCTCCAAAAAACCCCAAGCCTTACTAATGTGGCCCCAACTGTACTTGTGGGGGCAGGGAACAGGGTGCTAGGGCAGGGGACAGGATGCTGGGGGTGGGAGGAGGGGACAGGGACAGCAGGGGCCAGTACCTGGGGATCCTGCAGCTGTGCGCCAGATCCAGGAAGCATGTGCGCTGCTTCCCCCTCTCCCAAACAGCCATGCGCTGCCTGAACAGCTGGGTCTGTGGTGCACTGGCGACTGCCTTCCCGCTGCCTTCCTGCACGTGAGGAGGAGGGGGCGGGAGGGAGAAGGAGGAGTCCCGGAATCACATGAGCTCCAACTGCTCAGGTAGCACACATCCTGCTCCTTGCTCTGCATGGCAGCCACGCAGGGCTTGAGCAGTTGGAGCTGGTGGGGTGTTAGGACTCCTACTACTCCCCCGCCCCATGCACAGGAAGGCAGCAGGGGAGGGAAGTCACCAGCACATCACAGACCTGTTGTTTCAGGAGCGCACTGGCTGTTTGGGGAGAAGTGCAGCCCGTGTACTTCCTGAAACCCTGGATGTGGCGCGTAGATGTTGGACTGCGCCCCTCAGCTTTGCGCTGGAAGCAAGTACCTCACCCGCCTCCCCCTTGTTACAGCCCAGCATTAATCTCATGAATTCTTATTGGTTACTCTCCTATTCTATAGTACCCCAGCAGCCCTGTCTCTACTCCTAAGAAGCCCCCTGCCACTTAGTGCTGCTGCCTCTGTGGGGTGCCAGATGGGAGTTGGTCCACGAGGGGAGCCAATATAAAAACCAGCTCCCTTCGCAGACTGGCTACCTTTCACCCTCTGGTACTGCCTCTGATACAGAGGCAGCAGTGTGGGGTGGCAGCAGCCCGTGTTCAGGGAAGGTCTGAGCTCCCAGACATGGCGCAAGCCAGGACTGAGCCAGGATGCCTGCCCACCTGGCTCCTAATACACTTTAAATACAGATCCACAGCAAGGGTAGGTCCTGGACCCATAGCAAGCCAGGACTGAGCAGGGCTGCTGGCCAGCCTGCTAAAAAAATATACTGGTGGGGGGAGAGAGAAATGTGTGTAGTCCATAGCATTAGCCTGTAAGCTTTTGCTTATTAGTTCATTAACTACACTATTGCATCCCTATCAGATACCTCAACAAATGCTTGTAGGATAGACCAGTCCTGGCTGTATATATTTATGAACCATTCCCCAGGAACAAGTGCTTAGCATTTTTATGAATTAGCAAGAAGGGATGTGAAAGTTTAACTGGTAGGGGCTGGAATAGCTCCCCGCCTGCTGCAGGCAGGGGGCTGCTCCAGCCCTGTGGGGGCAGAAGAGGCCAGTGAAGGGGGGAGGGAGGGCAGACAGGGCTACTCCAGCCTGGGGGGGAGGGGGTGGTGATTTCCAGCAACCTCCCCTACCCTTCCATTTAATCCAGTGTTGGGGAACCTTTTTTGAGTTAGGGGGCTGCTGACCCACAGAAAAATCAGTCAGGGACCACAGAGAGGTGAGAAGCAGGGGGAAAATTCACTGTGGCCCCCCCATTTAAGACACTCCCCACATTCCCCTTGCACACAAAAGCCTGGGGGGCCCAGCCTAGTAGATTTTGTGTGCTCCAGCGACACAGGGACATGGGAGTGGGGACTGGAGCACTAATGCAGGTTCCCTAATGCTGGAGGTGGCCTTAAGCTCAAGCGGACAGATCCATGCAAGCCAAGGGCTGCCTCCCACCCCTGGGCCTGAGGTTCCCCACCCTTGCTTTTAATCGGTTAACGGGTTAAACAATTCAATGGGATTTTACATCGCTAGCAGCAAGTGTCCAGACATTATAGAGGAAGAGAGTAGCCTTCAGTTATATACGAAATACAAGATAATTTTTTTAAATCGCCAAGTTTGAAAACAAACACCAGTAAAGGCAAGTGAAGTCCTGCCCGCCTTCCAAAGGATTTTCTCGACACTGTGAACTGAAAAGTCGGGGGAGACTTTGGCGGGGATACGCGCCCCGGGGGCCTTCCCCACTAACTACTGCCCGAAACCTCCCCAAGAAGCGCTCTCGCCCCAGCGCTGCCTGGGCCACCACTCCCTC